TGGCTCTCTGCATCCACATTTCATTACCCATGGCTTGAAAACATTTTTAAATATATAAATTCCAAAAAGCAAACCTTGATTTTGCCATTTTATATAAGGGACACCATTTTGCCATGCTATTGAATTTAATGGTATGTGAGCATCCACAGATTTAGTATACACAGGGAGTCCCAAAACCAAATTCCAGCCAATACCAAGGGTTGCTTAGATGGTGAGAAGAACAATTAATTAATGCATTTAATAAATAAGTAACAAATTGATATTGTCAAGACAACCCAGCTGCTGTGACCTTGTCTGAAGCCGGTGCAGCTGCCTGGATCTGGACAGAAGCATCTTAAGTTTGCGCATCAAAATCAAATTAGCTCACACATCAAGCAAGATCCAACATTAGAGTTGCGTAGCACACCTGCCTTCATGCAGAGTAATGCATCCCTTGTGCTACACAGACCTCAGGTGAATGGCGACATTGTGCAACTGAACCAAGACAACAGATGTGTAGCTGAGTACACAACCAATATGCCTGCACATTCATGGGCAGTGTGCACATACATCCATGTGCAATGGCTCCATGTGTGCATAACCACTTCTGCAACCTTGAACTGAGTAAGGATGGTTTGCATCATAAACACAATGCAATATGTGAAAGCGTTGAAACATCCAAAAGATACTCCACAGGATTCCAGCCAAGGAGTAGCTTTCATACAACATTTGACCACCATGAGAAAGCAGACTGGACACAGTCCCAGCTCAACCCACAGGCTTTGACTTTTGAAATCCTTCATGGAGCAAGATCGGGATGCTTGAGCCACTAACACACACTCTCTCTCTTTCTGTACATTTGTTGTTGTGTACCTTCACGTTATTTCTGACATATGGTGACCTTATCACGTGGTAAATTTGGCAAGATTCATTCAGAGGGAGTTTGCCTTTGCTGTCCTCTGAAGCTGAGAGACTGTGACTTGCCCAAGGTCACCCAGTGGTTTTCCATGGCTGAGCGGGGATTCAAACCCTGGTCTCCAGTCATACAGAATCCATTTGTTTGTCTATTAGGCCATTCACAATATCTTCAACACTCTTCTGCAGCACCACATTTCAAAAGAATTGGGTTTTTTTCTGTCTGCTGTCTTCACTGTCCAGCTTTCACGAACATGCCACATAAACCAGAAATATTATGGCACAGATGATTGTGACTTTGGTATTTAATGATAAGTCTTTACACTTGAGAATCTTACCTAGTTCCTTAATTGCTGTCTTTCCAAATCTTAGGCTTCTTCTGATTTCTTGACTGCAGCCTCCATTTTTATTAATGACTGAGACAAGGTATACAAACTCTTGGACTCTTTCAACATCCTCATCATTCACTTTAAGGTTATGTCAGTCACCTTCCTTTTATAATGTTCAACTGTAACCTTGCCTTTGCACTTTCTTCAGTAATTGTTCCAAATCTTTGCTATTTTCTGCTAGTAACTTGGTGTCATCTACCTGTACGTATCTAAAATTGTTCCTTCCCAACTTGAAACCATTTTATTTCTCCACTTTGTGTCCTGACAAAGGCCTTTTGTCCACTATTCCAAAGAGGAGGAGGAGGAAAAGCCACCAGTTTTTATTTTTTGCTATTTGTTATCTGTGATTTATTTTGTCTCATGTGCTAGATAATTATGCACTGTGTGTGAATGAGCTGGTAAGTGCAGCCACTAATTGTGTCTTGCTAAGTGACCATCAGCTGCAGGGTGCAAAGTATTTTGGCTCTTTTGCATATCATTAGCCTTTCCTGCAAGCACAGTTTGGATTCAGAGAAAAGTGGCCACAAATGGTTTATCAGCATAGATCAATGACATCAGCCCCAGGAAGCAAATATTTCCAACTGAAGTCCCCAGTAGCTTTCTTTAGGAAGAGGAATTCTTCTTCAGAAGGGGCTCAATCAATGGAGATCCATTCATTAGTCAACTCTCAAGGTGTTTAGAAGCTAATGCCCTACAATAAAGGTCATTAACAAAGCAATCCCATTTGGAACAAGAGCGAATTGAAGCAGTCTGGAGGTGAGCTCCCTTTTGTTCCCATGTGGATTGGACGTCTGACCCAAATTCAGCACTTAGGCGAGGCCTTGCAGGACTGAGTCTGCCCACCTCACAGACCTACATGGACCCCAGAAAGAGGGTCAGGGAAGAGGGGGTTCGATCCAGGCAAAATTGGACCTCCAAGACTCTTATGTACTGTAGTTGAACCTCGTCTGGAGTTACCAGTCAGAAGCGTACTAAATGACCAGCCACTAATAAATATTAAGGCAATCACTGGCACTGAGTCCTCCCAGGAACAACAAAGCCCAGGTGCATTTAATTGGGAGTAAGCTCTACCTGGTACTGTAGGCTCTGTTTTAGAGAAAGGAACTGGCAAGACCACCTCTGAGTATTCGTTGCTTTAAAAAATCCTACGAAATTCATGGGACACCATACATCAGCAGGAAGGCACATGCACACAACCAAGCTAGATTGGAGAAAGCCAGGGCCATGTATTGTTTGAGTCTGGAACTAGGACACTGAGAGACCAGGGTTCGATTCCCGGCTCGGCCATGGAAACCCACTGGGTGACCTTGGGCAAGTCACACTCTCTCGGCCTCAGAGGAAGGCAAAGGCAAGTGCCCTCTGAACAAATATTGCCAAGAAAACCCTATGATAGAGTCACCATAAGTTGGGAACAACTTGAGGGCACACAACAATAAACCCTACCTTTCTGCTAAAAAACCCTTCCAGAGTTGGCAATACTCTTTCTGATCAATCTATTTGCCTTTGCATGTCCCAAGGTGACTGTTGGGGAACAGCCTGGACTGGACCCTTGAGCTGTTTGGGGGCGAGTCCTCTTCTTCGGGGTAGCAGAGTTGCTTCTCTTGCTGGACACCACCCAATTCTTCTGTGAGGCCAGGAGCTATGCTGACATTGGCAATGCAACTGACAGGGTCTCCCACATCAGACGGGCTTTTGCCAAGGAGCCAGACTCAACCTACCAAGCAGCAGCAATGGTACTGGAGGGTGACACTGGCGGAAGATCTCCCAGAGACAACAACGGCAGTGGCACCAGACCTAACCTATACCTGTGCAGAAAGAGACATGGTAAACCCCATCTGAATTACCATGAAAACCCTAGGACCCTGAGAAAGGAGGTGTAAAAATTGGAGGAAGTAACATCAACAATCTAAGAGATGCAGATGGCACCATGTTACCAGCAGAAAACAGGAAAGACTTGGAACAATTACTGAAGAAAATCAAGGAAGAAAGTGCAAAGGCAGGTTTACAGTTTGAACATTAAGAAAACAAAAATAATCAGAATGGAGACTGCAGTCAAGAAAGCAGAAAAAGCCAGGGCAGCTATGAAGGAACCAGACAAGGTCCTGAAGTGTAAAGATATATGATTGAATATTAAAGTTAGAACTGTCCACACCATTGTATTTTCTATTTGTATGTAAGCTGGACACTGAAGAAAGAGGACAGGAAGAGAATCAACTCATTGGAAATGTGATGCTAAGAGTTCTGTGGATACCGTGGACAGCTAAAAAGACAAATAAATGGTTCTGGGTGCAAATCAAGCCTGAGCTCTCCCCAGAAACCAAGATGACAAAAATTGACCATATCATGAGAAGATATGACTCACTAGAAAAGACAATAATGCTTGGTAAGGGAGAAGGCAGTAGGAAAAGAGGAAGACTGCATTTCAAGTGGGTGGACTCCATCAGGGAAGCCACAACAGCTGCCATGAGTCTGCAAGACTTGAGCATGACTGTGGATGATGGGGTGATGTCAGGATCTCTCTCGTTCATGGGGCCTCCATAAGTCGAAGGTTTCTTGCAGTTAACAACAAAAATGGTGAGCTTTTGTATGATAATAATAATAAATAATAATATAATAAAAAATTTATTTATATCCCACCCCTTTGAGATCAATTGGGGTGGCTAACAGCAATAAAATATACACACACAACGAAATCTAATTCCCTCCCCCCCTTAAAAAGTTATTAAATCGATTACAAGTTAAAAACAGCAATTTAAAATACAACAATAATATATAGAACAGTTCGCATTGCAGCAGCAGTTCTCAATTTCATATTTAAAGAGGAACCTGAAGATCTTCTTAATAGAGGGGTTCCTGAGGCTGGAATTATTCTATGGAGGGAACCCACTGCAAAGGCAGGATACCAATGCATTAAAGAGAAAGGGGGTGCCCATTTGAGGAACCAGAGGCCCAGACTGGGAACCCAAGCCTTGAGGTGCATAATGTCTGGAATAAATCCTCTGAAATTCTGAGGTAGCCTTTTGGGTGAAAAGCCTACTCCATGTTGGAAGTAGCATGACTGAATAGCCCCAGCACCATGCAGAATTGCAGCCTGAACAACCACCCACCCCAAGTAAAGCAAAAATTCAGCCCTTCTCCCACCCCAAAGGTAAAACCAGGGCCCACCCAAGACAAGGATCATCATACCAAGGGCTGGCCATGGTTTTCTGTACCATTTGAAGGTGACAATCCCACAAGCACCTTTGCCCCTCTTTAGAAATACAGCTGGTGCAGGTGTTGCAATGCCCATTCAACTCTGATTTACAGGTATTCTTGGCAAAATATATTCAGGGCAGCATTGCTATTGCCTTGCTGTTGGGCTGAGAGAGTGTGACTTGCCCAAGGTCACCCAGTGGGTCTCTAGGCCCAAGTCTCCCAGAGTCCAGCACTCAAACCACAACTCCATGCTGGCTCTCAAGATTTTTTCAGAGGAGATTTACCACCAATGCCTTCTTCTGAGGCTAAGAGTGTGGGACTTCCCAAAGTCACCCATTTGGTTTCTATGGCTCAGCAGGGATTCAAGCCCTGGTCTTTTGGGTCCAATTCCCACACTCACACCACTGTGCCACACAGGCTCAAGAAAAAAAAATATTTGCAAGATTTCTTATTTCAAAGTTTGTCACCATTGCATTCCTTTCCTGTTCAAGATAATAATAATAATCACCCAGTGGCTCTCAATGGCGGAGCAGGGATTTGAACCCAGATCTCTCAGAGTCCAAGTCCAACACTCAAACCACTACACCATGCTGCCTATCATAGGATTTTCTTGGCAATTTTGTTCAGGAGAGGTTTGTGCTGGCCCACCTCTGTGGCTGAGAAAGTATGTCTTGCTCAAAGCTACTCAAAGTGGGTTTCCTTGGCTGAGCCGGGGTTTGAAGTCCAGCTCACAAATCACGGTATCACACTGGCTCTCCTGGAAGCACAAAGTGTAGTAAAAATACAATAACATCCATCAACAAAGACTTCCGCACAATTCTCAGCCTTTTCATGACCTCCTAGCTTAGCTGCCTGATGCGGCCACCAAAATAGTTATTATACTAAGAAAATATGCAACCTGGCAGGACCAAAATAACAGCTGCACCTATAAGTGTTCCAATTATGCCAACCTCCTTTTTTAACCAGAACTGGAGCTGGAATATCTCAACTGGAAGAGATATTTCAGAGCCAGCCACAAACATCCCACAAAAAAGGGTTATTCTGCCACCTGCTGTCCCAAAATTTAGGTCTCAAGCCTCTGTGTTGTGTGCCTTCAAATAATTTCTGACTTATGGTTATAGTGATGCTAAGGTGAACTTATCATGGGGTTTTTTTTGGCAAGATTTGTTCAGAGTAGGTTTGCCATTTCCTTCCTCTGAGGCTGAGAGAGTGGACTTGCTCAAGGTCACTCAGTGGTTTGCCTTGGCATAGAAAGAATTTGAACCACAGTCTCCAGAGTCGTAATCTAGTTACCTAGATCAGAGACAGTGTCACAAAATTGCAGGGATTGTTCTAGTTGGCATACCTACAGAAGTATTTTGAAACTGTATTGTCCCAAACCTGGGTTCCTTTGTTCCTCATAGTAAGGAAGAGGAAAAGAAGCTGCTCTTTTTTGGGAGGGGGGCTGCACTTTAAACAAACCAAGCCCTGCCTGGCTGCCCCATTCCTTCCCCGGTGTCAGCAGCCCAACAGGACTTGGCGGCTGCCTGAGTCATTTGGATTATGGCTCAAGAAACTAGACAACAGCATCTTGTTTTAAAAATAACATATATGCACCTAAAGCAACCATATGTTACCAACAGGATTCCAGCCAATGTGCAGCACGCTTGTCAATGCTCCCGCACAAACCTCATTGCAATGAACAGAAGACATGCAAGAGAACAGTTGCGTTCTTCCAGTTCATTTTAATACAGGGCAATTTGCACAGGAGAAATTCCAGGGAGGTTGTATCTCAGGGGCCAGAACTCTCTCTGTATGTTGCCCACAGGGGCGTGCAAAAGGGCACACACCCTGAAGCCCAACAAGAGGAGTTCTTCCCGCCAGTACGAAAACAAACCGCTGTATTTGCCTGGCGCCAACTGACCTTGTCTATGGGGAGCTGCTCCTAGGAACAGAGCTTCAATCCCTGCAACAGATAGGAAGTTACGTGCCATTTAATTACGCAGCGGTGCTTGCCAGTTCTTTCTGCCGGTTCTCTAAGGCTCTCAGGAAACTGGCAGTCGGCTGCTTCTCCAGCAAAAAGAACATCCATGACATATTTGCGGTTGCAGTTTCATTATTTGCAAATTTATCAATGCTTTAAAACAGAGCTGGAAGAGAGTAATAAATAGAGTCCAATAAGGTAATTTGCACTGTAATGTCCGCTGCCTCACCCTGTGAAGAATATGCACAGATCTGTCTCAGGCTGCTTCTGCACAGCAGAAATAATCCAGTTTGACACCACTTTAACTGCCACAGCTTAGTGCCATGGTATCCTACGATTTGTAGTTTGTTGTGGCAGCAGAGCTCACCGAGAAAGAAACTACAAATCCCAGAACTCCACAGCATTGAGCCATGGCAATTAAAGTGGTGTCAAACTGGATTATTTTTGGTAGAATTCAAAGATACAGCTGTGTTAGTTTGTAGAAGCAGAATGTAGAGAGATCTTGTAGCACCTTTGGGACTAAATGAAAGAAAGAAGTGGGCAGCAGGAGCTTTCCTAGACTTAAGTCTACTTCCTCAGATGCATTTAGTGCAACATTTGGTCCCCAAATGCATCTGAGCAAGTACTTTAGTCTAGCAAAGTTTTGCTGCCAACTTCTTTCTTTCAGTTAGTCTCAAAGGTACTACAAGATCTCTTTCTATATCTATATATCTATATCTATATCTATATCTATATCTATCTATATCTATCTTTTATACTGTAACAATTTAATTCTGTTTTAATGTAACACTCTCCAATGTTTTTAATTGTACTGTTTTTAATCTTATAAGCTGCTCTGAGTCCCAGTTTTGGGGAAAGTAAATAAATAAATAAATAAATAAATAAAGTGTAGCTACAAGGATTGGGGTGGCTGAGGGCATTGCTTCCCCAATGAAAATTTCCTTCAATCCTCAAATTCCTAGCCTTGCAGAGAGCAAGGCACTGGAGATCCTTCGCACCCAGATCCCTCCTCCTCTTTGCTGTATCTGCGTTCTCTGGGTCATTTTGCCTTTGGCCCTTTACTTTGGTTGCCTCCTCATATCTATTTCTAAAGGCTCAACTTAAATGTTTAGGCTACCGCAATGCTCTAGAAATTTGGGGGCTGTAGGGAAAATCCATTTTGGCAGGAGAGAATTCTTATTTGGAAGGACAGTGCCTTTCATTTTGAAGCCCCTCAAATAGCTACAAACTGGGGCAGGGGAGGCTTTGCAACTAGGGAGAAGGGCTGCTGCTCCTTTGAGCTGCAGGGTGCTGTTGTTGTTGTTGTTGTTGTTGTGTGCCTTCAAGTCACTTCTGACTTATGGACACCCTAATGTGAGCCCCATCGCTGGTTTGTTGTTGCAGAAAAAACAATAACAAGAAAGGGGAATTACAACCTAACCTATGCAACAGGAAAGAAAAAAAGTTAGGTATATAAAATATAAAATGTAACACAGACTATGAAAATAATATTAAAATCATAGAA